AAGTACCCTTTTGAGAAAGCCCCTTATAACCCTATAATTGAAAAATAGAGCACCGCGACAATCCATGCTAATAGGACCAGCCCTCAGATCGACAAAAAACCAGAAAGTACACAAAGGTAATTACCGCGAACTCTCTCGAACTTTATACGTGTTGAGTACCCTTACCCTAAACCCTAAACCCTAAACCCTCTCCTAAAGGAGCCCTTGATTCCTCAGGGAGTGAAGGAGGTGGCCTTCGTTTTCTCTCCGCCGCCCATCGTCGCCAGCTTTGAGAAGCGGCCCATGGGCTTTACCGTTGCCAAGGCCACGGCTTCTTAACAGCGTTCAGGGTTTAGGGTTTAGGGTTTAGACTTTAACAGACTCGGAGCAGGTTTCTATAGATGCTTGCAAAGTTTTGCATGGTTTGATAGAGTTTCCCCGGGATTTATAGGGCGCGATAGCCTTGTATAGGGTTTCTGTAGGGTCTCATAGACAAATCATGACAGTTTTCGTAAAGTTGTTATATGGGTTGCAGGGCTACTGCAAGGTCTTGCAGGGACCACAGAAACTTAGTCGATAGAGTTTTTTGTATCGAACCTTGTTTCCGTCTACCTTAGGTTTTCGGAACCTCCTTTCCTCCGGCGTTCAAGCCAGCGGAACCCTCCGTCAAATCCGCCAAACTCTACAAAGCCTTATCTCAACGTGGATGTGCTTCTTCCCTGGGCCCCGTTGCCGATTTTGGTGTATAGATTACTGTCATGGTGCCCCCATGTTCAGGGCTTTGGGGTGAACCCTAAACTCGAAACCTAAACCCTAAACCCTAAGCCCTAAACCCTGAACCCTACGGAGTTTAACAGTGCAGGACTCAGAACTGGGTCTGATCCACGTCTCCAGCTCCACCGGGGTGGCGCGCGCTTACGGCAACTCGGACCTCTGCCATTAGGGTTCCCATGTAAGGGAGCCTTTATATGGGGTCCTGTAAGGGCTGCTACAAGGCTAATTATTATAATGATCTACTTGAAAGTTTTTCGACGGTTGCAGAGGCTTTTGTAGGAGTCGATGGGCACCAAATGTCCCAAGGTTTTTAGGGCATCCACAGAGCTTCCGACAGGATTCCCGAACGAAGGTACCCATAGGCCCCATAGTAGTTCGTTTTTGGGGTTACCTAATAGGATCCTAAATATAAGCCAGAAAAAGGAACTACTATGGGGCCTATGGGTAGATGGGGAGACTATAGATGGGCAGGTAAGCCCTCCAACTGCTTCAGGGCCGAGTCACGCATGTGGGCCTCAGAGCTTATTGTAGCCTCACCTGCGTGATCTCAAGGGTCTTAGTGAAAGTCCCATGTCCTTGATTGTGACCAAGTCGTCTAAGTGATGCAAATATGCAGAGACATGCTCATGCTGACGCCTGGCTGCCGTCATCTCCATGATCATCCGCATCATCATCAACAGCATCACCGCCACGATTATGAGGCTGATGGCTGTGGTGCTGACAAGCAATAATGCGCCTCACCATCAGCAGCATGGCACTCTTCACCAACCATTACATATCATGATCATCCTCATCCTCACCGTCACCATCTTCAGCATCCTCAATGTCAACAACAGCAAGGAGCGTCAACATCACGAATCGCCTAAAACCCTGGACCTTAAGCCCAAAGACGAGCTTGGCTTGTGCGCCGAGGCATTAGGCCGGGTGCGATCGTCGCCAACATTGGCGCCCTGCCAGCAAACTGTAAACTTGGAGGAGGTTTTGGGACACCCTAAACCCTAGGCCCCATAAACTTGAACCCTAAACCCTATAAGCCCCATAAACCTAAACCCTATACCCTATAATAAGCCCCATAAACCTAAACCCTAAACCTTAAGCCCTATACTCCCTAGTCGCAAACCTGAAAGCCGACAAGGTGTGGGTGCGAAGGCTGTCGGGCTTGTGAGCTTGCTGCGCCTATGTTTTGGGTTCACGCCCACGCACACCCTGAATCAGCACCTGCACCAAATCACAATTGCAAAACGGCTTGAATGCATCCAAACACTGTTCTTCAATAGTGCAAGGCGGATATGAGTGTAGTACGGGCATGCCCCGTAACCCTGCTTCACACACGGATTTCAACTTAACATTAGGTGCTGCACCCCAGACACTTCAGGCAAGGCTCAACGTTTGGCAGACCGAACACTCGGTGACCCTAAGCCCTTTGCTGATCAGACCCAACCCCATGTCATGAAGTCTAGGTCTTGCTGTTTCTCTGGCGTTTCAAGGTAATGTAGGGGCCTAAATAATTACCAGTACTATTTTGGGGGTTCCTTATTATACTTATATTACTTATATTATATTATACCCAAAACCCCAGTCTAATTATGAAGACCCCTATATTACGGGTCCAGGCCTTTCGGGCTGTGTCACAGCTGGTGTGTGAATGTCGGTAGGGTGATGCCGCAATGCGAAATGTCGGGCTGGCGAACAAAGATCCTCTAAGAGATGGTAATGTAGGGGCCGAGGTAATGTAGGGGCCGAAATAATTACCTATACCATTTCTTGGGTGTTCCTCATTAGAGTTATAGCATAAAATACCCCCAAAACCCTGTTCTAATTGTTAAGGCCCCTACATTATTGCCGAATCCTTGATACTACTACACAACCCTAAAGCCGAAGCCCTAAAGCATAAAACCTTAAACCCTAAACCCGACGCCCTAAACCCTAAAGCCGACGCCCTAAGCCCTAAACCCTAAACCCTAAACCCTCTACACAACCCTAAACCCGAAGCCCTTGAACACTACAAGAGCTCATAGCCGAGCCACAGGTTCCCGTGGTAGAAACATAACTGGGTCCTTGTTGGATACAATGTTATATTTTTGTTTTTTTAGTGGCTGAGTAGGTAACCTTTAACTTTTTGGGGCTCTTATAATCCTACTATAATTCAAAAGGTTGGCTAGGGTACTCAGCCCCTAAGTTATAAGAAAACCCAATAAGGATTAAACATGATCATTTTTATATAGCCCCAACAGGGAACCGGATAAGGCAGCCTGCAAAATCCGGGGAAAATGTAGGAACCTGATTAAGAAACACTGGCCCTAGGGGGTTTAGGGTTCTGGGGTCTAGGGTTTAGGGAGTCATAATCAGATACCTATGTTGAGAGTTGAGGTTGCCGTGTGTCGGGAACGAAGGTGGCACAGAAGTCAGCTCCCTCCGAATCGAGCACGTCCGGGACATGCTCAAGGAGGCCGACGAGATCTTATTCCTAAAGGGGCCTTAAGAATTTGAATAGGGTTTTGGTGTACATTCTACTATAGTTAAAATTTAGGAACCCCAAACAGCTATAGGTAATTATTAAGGCCCCTACATTACCCACACAAAACCAGAGTTTTAGGTTTTTTTTGTTTTTTTTTTTTCCAGGCTTCCCTGGGACCCAAACAGAGTTTTAGTAGTATAGGGGCCTGAGTTTGCTCATATTACTACGGTGGGTTGCTTTGATATGAGTGGACAAAAAATTGTACTCCAAGACCGTATTCTTAGAATTCAGTCCCCGGAAGTTGGATTCTTCGGAAGCGATGACTTTTCTGCCATCCTAGAATGGGAAGTATAGCAACCGAACAAGCAACTACACATGAGGGCATAGGCCGCACCAACGGCCGGAATGCTTGAAACCCTGAGGAAATTCCGAATGTATGGAGTTTGCTTGTCGGGGGTAGTGTACTATAGGGGCCTTGGGTAATACTCTTTTGGGGGTTCTTTAGTGTAATAATTATAGTATAATATACTCCAAAACCCTATGACAATTATTAAGGCCCCTATAGTTTATTATTTGGGGTTCCGGGTTTGAGTATGAATTCGCGGAGATTGTAGGGCTTACAGGTCCATCCTCGAGGTTTCGGGTTTGAGGGATTTCGGGTTGACCTAGACCTCCCTACCTATCCTGTGTAGTATCCCCAAATTGCCCGTGAGATTTGTTAATGGTTGCTTGGGGGGACCCTCAACCCAAATTAAACCCTAAACTAGTAAGCCCTAAACCACTAAACCCTCAACCCCTAAACCCCAATAAGGCGTAAACTCTACAACGCCCTCAACACTGAACCCGAAACCCTGAATCCGAGGAGGCTTAGGGTTCGCATTCCCCTAAGCCCTAAGCCCTAAACCCTAAATCCTAAACCTTAAACCGTTCTTGCGAGGTCAGCCTGCCGGTCTCCGTCCATTTCGAGCCCCCGGGCTTGCATAGTCTGGGTTTACTGTAGGGTTTAAGGTTTACAGGGTTTAAGGGTTCAAGGTTTAGGGTGTTAGGGTTCCCTAAACCCTAAACCCTAAACCCTAAACCCTAAACCCTAATCGGTTCAGGGGTTATAGTTAAGCCCCTAGGGCCATACGGGACCCCCCTAGAATTGTGCCAGGCGTTTCCTTTGTAGTGTGTTTGGGCGTCAAGCATTCTTCAGTCCAGGCCCCTAAATCCCTTTATTAGGGGTTTAGGGGTTTAGGGTTTTGGGATTAGGGTTTAGGGGTTTAGGGTGTAGGGTTCAGGGTTTAGGGTTTAGGGGTTTAGGGTTTATGGATCCCTAAACCCTGAACCCGAAAAACCAAAGTCCAAAAACCCTGAACCCTGTATGTAAGGGTCTAAATAGTTACCTGTCTCTAGTGTTTGTTGCACCGTTTGTATCACTATCGATACTAGTTACATGGTATCATCGTCACGGCGGGCATACATGAGGTAGGCTTGTTTGGTGGGCTTTTGGGTGAGTGAAAACGTACGGTTCCTGAAGAACACTGGTGAATGAATAGTTGGTACGTTCGTTTTTTTGTCCGATTGGAGTGTCAACAACCAGAATCCCCGCCCTAAACCCTGATTCCTAAATCCCAAACCTTAATCTCTTTGCTCAGGCAGGCCAGAGGAATGCCAAACACGGTTGCAGGAATGATCCAGCTGCCGACTCAGAGCTATTATATAGACGCGTATTGATAGGGGCTTGAGGTGTAGATGTTGGGGGCTTAGGGTTTAGGGGTTTAATGTAGAAGCAAAAATCATTACTCATAGGTTGATGTAGAACTCCTTAGTATAAAAATGTTCCGACATTCCCCTAAACTCCATTAATTATTGAGACCCCTATATTACTCTTGAGGGTTGGAGGGTTTAGAAGTGTTATCATAAGTGTATGGGTTGCAATAGGGGTGGCCTTTAGAGGGTTCTAGTTGTGTTTGGGGAGCATCTGGGCTCTCGAAGACTGTCTGGTGCTTAGTAGGGAATGGGTTATAGGGACTACCACAAGGGACCTTAAGGGACTGTCATAGGAATCCATTCCCCCATTCCCTACCCAGACCACCGGGAGGATCCAAAAAGTAGATCCCTGAAGGGGGTTCCTATGAAGTACCCTTTAGTAGTATAGGGTCCAAAATTAGGGTTCTACTTTGTAGATCCTTCCGGGGGTCTGGGAAAGCCTGCCGATGAATAACGCAAAGTCTAAAAGCCTAAACCTTCGGCACCGGAATGGCGACACCAACACGTCCATGCACTGGATCCATCCTCCTGCGGTTGTTTGAGCAACTTGCGCCACCCCCCTTAATGCAAGACAGCAGAAGCCGGAAACCATAATGTTTCGCAAACCAATGACAAAAACATGAAAACGATGCAGAGTTTGGCTTGGTAGCAGAAATTTGGTAGGCAGCGGTGACAAGCGAGATTAAAAGCTTGAAGAAAACATCATTGTTGTTACGTACGGTTCCCTCGTATAAAATTTTACTGCAACCAAAACCGTTTCCTACATATCAGGGCCCCTTCTTCAGCTATAGTATCCAGCCCCGAGTCGAGATCCCTCACCCGTACACTGCAGTGCCTGTCAGTCCATATACCCTCAGCCCTGAAGTACGAGTCACTGGTGACTAGCGACTTGTCTTGGACTGGAATGTCTTGGAATCGCGCATGTATGGTTCTTTCCAGAAAGGGGGCTTGGAGATCGGGGCTAATAAGACTAAAATGCCCGACTCGCAAATCACACAAATCTTGTCAGCCCTAAAGCCGTAATGCTTGCGACCGTAACAAACCTCAAGCCTTAAGCCATAAGCTAGTTTCCTTGATGCGAGGCACGTCCCAGAAGAAGCTGCTTGGCTGGGCTGCCTTAGGGTTCCTGCAGGGTTTGCGGGTTTAAGTTCTACCTGGACCCTGAAGAACCTACCTTTTTAGGGCTCCTTATTATGATTTCTTTATATACGTCCTTAAAAAGGTCGGTTCTTTGGGGTTAAGGTAAGGGTTCCATCGATATGAGTGCTTTGGCTTGTCATTGGCTCACGTAGCGAACGGTCACTGTCAGCCTTCTGCGTCATCTTTTTATCTTTGGCATCATTCTGCCTGCTGTTGGCTTTAGCCGTGTCATGGCCAGTAGGAGTAGTGGTATCGTTTTGACCACTGACATGGTTCGGACTACCCGTGTTGCTTTGTTTATCAGTTATGTCGAATAGTTCTGTTGCGGTTGTGGTATGATCCTCGATATGTCTACTACGATCTACCATTCTTGTCGATGTCAGTCTTACGACTTGCCAAGGATTTAAGGTATTGATGAGTTCCTCGTTTTGATATTATGTCTATACAGATGTACATACATACATACATACATACATACATACATACATACATACATACATATGTACAGATGTATACAGATTTCTGTGTATATCTACCTGTCCCTCGTCATCCATACATAAACGTTTTGTGTCCACATGCAACATATGTCATGTATTTTCTCCATGAAATGTATGTTGGTTGTATGTATGTATGCATGCATGTATGCATGCATGTATGTGTAACGTGTAGGTACATATACAACTATGCACATGTGTATATAGATATATATAAACAGCTATGCACAAAGATGTACACACCTACAATCACAAGTAAAGCTTTGACCGGGAATCCGCTTGTAGCCCCCCCAAAACCCCAAACCCCAAGCACTAAATTCTAAACCTTACCCTCAAAGGACTCATATATTAAGGCTTCCGGGCCCAAAGACCCCATTATCTAAGGCTCTTGGGCTATTTTGATGCTACGGGTAAACCGCTACCTAGGAAGCCAGAGGCCGAAATCAACATTGGGTGGGCTGGAGGGCTTGTCAAGAGGCATCAAGGGCTGTACAAGATGTTTTCAAAACTTGGGGGGGTTTAGAACAAGGGTTCTGTTTTGAATTTAAAACAGAACATCAAGGGCTGTACAAGATTTTCCTAATAATTGGGGGGGGGGGGTTAGAACAAGGGTTTAGGATGTAGGTGCACTGGTTGGAGTGATCGTCTAGTCGTAACCCTGCTTGTATGATACTTCCTAAGTCGCTTCATGGGTCCCTCAAGTCGAGTGATCGGATTTAGGATGTTGTAGGGAAGCAGAACACTTACAACTCTGAAACCCATGTCCCCAAGCCCAACACCCTAGAACCCGAAGCCCTGTCCTCCAGTCCTAAACCCTAAACCCTAAACCCCTAGACTTTCGGGCTTTTCAGGAGCAGGAGGTGGTGGCAGCTCCCAAGAAGGAGGAGCCGCGTCCCCCTCCTCGTGGCTCGGCCGTGTGGATTTAGCCTTTATGCAGAGCGCTGGACGATTTTCAGTGTTCACGCTTAATGATACTGCTGCTGGACAAAATTCTACATGACCCAAATAACGCATAGCACCATAAGTGGACCATACATAGGGTCATGCAGGATTTTGTCCATCAACCGTGGAGAATGTAAGTAGTCTTTCCGGCTTTAGGATTGGGGATTTCAGGGTTTGGATTTGGGGTTGGGGTTTGTACAGTTGGCGATGTGTTGGCATTCTAGGACTGGGTCAAATTCAGATGTTTTGTTCTCGGGGTTTGTTCTTGTACCGAGTTCTGGCAGCAGGTGTTTTTGCTAAACGGGATCGCCTCCAGCGTCCATGATGTGTGTGCCGGTTCGACCGTAGGCCGTAGGCAGTGTAGGTGCTGCCTGCTGCCTAAACTCTGCACCCTAAACCCAAACTTGGAAGAAATCCTTAACCCCTAAACCCTAAACCCCTAAACCCAAAACCCTAAAATCCTGAACCCTAAACCCCTAAACCCTAAACCCTAAAATCCTAAAGCCTAAATCCTAAACCCTAAAACCCTACAACCCTAAAGCCTACACCCGAAAGCCGAAACCAAAACCCTAAACCCTAAACTCTAAAGCCTAAAACCCTAAACCCTAAACTCTAAAGCCTAAAACCCTAAAGCCCTAAACCCTAAACCCTAAACCCTAAACCGTATAAGCTATGCTTTCGCCGGGCTTTGGGGTTCCGTTCGGATCTTCTCGAAGCAAGAGCAGCCACCCTTCCTGGAGCCCCGTGACCGTTACAGGTCAAGACATAATACACTTTTAGGGATTTCTAGGTTTCAGGAGGGGTTTAGGGTTTCTTAGGGTTTTCAGGGATTTATAGGCTTTAGGGGGTTTAGGGTTTAGGTATTTTAGCTTTCAGAGTTTAGGGCTTGAGGGGTTTAGGGCTTAGGGTTTCAGGGTTTAGTGTTTAGGGCTTAGGGTTTGTTCCTGTGGTGTTGCCCTGGAGGTCTATGAGCTTTCTGGTGGGTTTCAGCAAATTCTCTCAGGTATCAATAGCAGTTGTTTATTGGCGTTCTAGACTATGTGAGGCTAGAATTGTCCAGGGTTTTCGAGTTTTTGGGCTTAGGATTTTGCAGTTTTTGGGGTAAGGCTTTTCAAAAGGTTTTGGGCCCCCCCCCCCCATAGTTTTGCTGAGCCCCCCATGTTAAGCCCATACACCTATCAACTGCGACCCTGAACCTTTTCCTGATCAGTCCTTGGGTAGGGTTTGAGAGTGGGCCTTGCACAAACGCAGGCCCCACCGTAGCCCTTTCTGTAGGGTTTAGGGTTTAGGGTCCCTAAACCCTAAACCCTAAACCCTAAACCCTAAACCCTAACGAAGGACCGTTCATAGGGTCCCTAAACCCGAAACCCTAATCCCCGATCCCAGGCGACCCCAACGTTCCCATGGTGGTGCCGCCACCAACCGACATCGAACTCGACTTGCCAGGGGCCCGATCTACCGGGGTTTAGGGTTTAGGGTTTAGGTCCCATGAATATTACTAATGTTAGTATTGTATCATTATCGCATTCCAGCATGGTATTGTAGTATTCTAGTAACATAGTCTCATAGTAGTATAGCCTTGTAGTATTATAGTGAGCAGTAGCATGATTAGTGTTAGTACTATTATTAGTATTTGCCACATGCCCCCAAACATGAGAACCCTGTGCCACATGCAGGGCTGAAGGCAAGAAAGCCCTAAACCGAAACCCTAAACCCTAAACCCTAAACCCTAAACCCCCTAAACCCCCTAAACCCTAAACCCTAAACCCTAAACCCTGCACGTTTGGCCATTCTCGCAGTCCGGAATGGCCAAATCCCAGCGTCTTCATGGGGATGAGGGCTCACAGTTCAGTTGCTTAGGGGTTTAGGGTTTGTGGTTTAGGGTTTAGGGTTTAGGGTTTAGGGTTTAGGGTTTAGGGTTTAGGGTTTAGGGTTTAGGGTTTGGAGTTGAGGTTGTTTATCCGGTTTGTACTTAAACTGGGTCGTATTGATTGTTTAAGGTTCAAGTCGTATGATTGTAAGTGGTGTTTTAATACGGGCGCCTGAATAACTACTAGTATTATCTTGTTATTTATAAGAAAAGTATAAACAACCCGAAACCTTATTCTAGTTCTTAAGGCCCTTATAATACGCATCCCGATTAAAATCTCTTATAGACCCTTTTCAGGGACCGTTTGAAGGAGCCCTATTCTAATTATTATGGCCACTATATACGGCTTCAGGCAGCCATAAACCTTCAATCCCCTAAACCCTAAACCCTAAACCCTAAACCCTAAACCCTAAACCCTAACCTTCAATCCACTCCCACACAATCCATTTTCGGACCCTTTGGGGTGTTTACGGAGTAGACGCGTGTGGTGTCCGTCGTGCGGTTTAGCGGTTGGGCGTGTCTGTGTTTGTTTGTTTTCGTTTTTGTTGTTTGTTCTGTTTGTTTTTCTTTCTTTGCTTTTTTTTTGTTGTTGTTTGTTTGTTTGTTTTTTTGTTTGTCTGGTTGTGTGTGGTTGCCATGTTTTGTTTGTGTGTATGTGTGTGTGTGTGTTGTCTTGTTTTTGTGTTTTGATGTCGGAGTGTTTGTGTGTATGTTTGTGTTTGTGTCTTGTGTGTGTGTGTGTGGTTTGATCGTCTTTATATCCTACCATTAAACCGCCTAAACCGCCTAAACCCTAAACCCTAAATCCTAAACCGTCCTAGTCCTAAACCCTACCCCCTAAACCCCCTAAACCCTAAACCCTAAACCCCCTAAACCCCCCCTAAACCCTAAACCCTACCCCTAAACCTAGAGACTCCAAAACCCCTTAATTAAGGAATATACCTTAAATTATAATAGGATCCCTAATAAGATTTAAGGTATATTCCTTAATTAAGGGGTTTTGGAGTCTCTGGGAACCCTAAACCCTCCTAGTCCTAGTCCTGAGTACTAGTCCTGGTCAGCCTGAACGCTGGACTGCTACTGCCTTCCATTTGCCATGCAGGGCTCCGGGAATTTTAGGGTTTTTGGGGGTTTAGGGTTTAGGGTTTAGGGTAATATATACAAGGAGGTAGCACCAGAAATCCGCATCGGTAGTTTTCCGTTCAACCCCTAAACCCTTCAGCAGTCCAACCAGGAAACTGCAAGGTAGGGCACAAGACAAAGACCTTCACGAACACCAGCCCTAGCCACCCCAAACTTGAAGCTTGATTAGGCCCTACTTCCTAAACCCAATTTCCCCGAACTCCCTCACCCCAACTTAGGTCGCAGCCTTTGGGCATCGTGTGGTACCCCAGCCTCGTGGTGAAGAGCGTGAAGCCAAATTCCCAGGTCCGACTCCCGGGACTACATGAGCTACACTGTTACGGGTGCATGTCAGGGTCTGGCATGTACTCCGGGTTTACCGGGTTCCCAAAAAGAGGCATTTGGGATCCATGCATCTATTTCTATATCTTTAGCCATATCTACATCTATCTCTATACCTATATCTATATCTGTATCTACTACCCCCCCAAACTCAGTGTGAGTGCAAATCCTGTGGTTGCGAGACCCGGCAGTTCGGAGTGAATTTCTTGAGCTTGCCAATCGAGAAGCAAACGGCAACCTCGTCTTTCCCGGGGTAGCCATGGAGGAAACGGTCGCAAACCCCATTCCCACTTTAGTGGTTGTTGGGTGTGTGTGTGTGTATATATGTAGACATACATATATATATATATATATGTATGTATTTATTTATTTATTTATGTATCTGTTCATGAATGAGAATATATATATATATATACATATGTATGTCGACTGTTCTTGGCCGTCAAGGTAGATAAGTTCTGGCCTAGGTGTCTGGGCTGAGAAAGTTGAGTGTCTGGGGTTTAGTGTCCTGGAAACAGGTCCTGCGATGCTGCTGCTGCTGCGGTTTCTGGAGTTATAGTTTACGGAACTGCGGACCCCGGATCCCTGATTGATAAACTCGTCTCCCTGAGTGAGGACTATCATCAGTGAGGCACTTGTAGAAACGGGATGTTCCCATCAGGGAACTACATGCACCCCCGCTGGCCTCTTTGCTGACGGTCTTGCCTCTGAGAACTATGTATCCCTAAACCCCTAAGCCCCCACCCCTAAATCCTGAAACCTTCCATCCTTCAGCCGAGGTCCATGCAATCCCAAAACCTGAAGCCCCAAAATGTTTAAATAAAGTCCGCCACAAATCAAGGTAGAGACCTATGTCCCAAAGCCTTAAAACCAAACTAAACCCAAGTCGCTGGACCAAACCATGGTTCTTAAAACCCAAACCCTCTGCCAAAAGCAACCCCAAACCCCAAACCCTAAACCCTAAACCCAAAACCAAAAAAACGCCCCTACAACCCTAGACCTGTCCTCGACAGGCAGCGCGTCTCGGCATCGGCCCGGGCTGGGAGGCTACGCTGAAGAAAATTTAGGGGTTTAGGGGTTTTAGGGTTTGGGGATTCGGGCTTAGGGTTTAGGTTTTGGGGCTCAGGGTTTAGGGGTTTAGGGTTTAGGGTTTTAGGGTTTAGGGTTTAGGGTTTGGGGTTTAGGGTTTGGGGTTTAGGGGCTTTAAGGTAAAGGGCCATGCCCGGACGGTCGTCGTGACGGTTTTACGAGGTTGCGAGGGGGATTTATAAGGGTTCAAAGGAGTGTTTGGTGGGGCCTTAGAGGGTGCTACGAGGCCAATGGTCGTGATACATGAGTGGCTCTACCGGTACTACATTCCTAGCTGTTTTTGAGGTTTCAAAGGGGTTATTGGGGCTTCATGTGTCCGAACCTAAGATTTGAAGTTTCAATATTTGGGGATGGTTGAGAGGGGTTGTCAGTTGGATTTTCGGGCTTTTTCAGTGGCGTTTCAGGCTTTCGAGATATGGGGGGTTTCCGAAAATACGGGACCCCAATATAGTACAGAAAATAGTAGGATCCTTATTATAAGGGTCTAGGGTGATTAAGACCGGAACCTTGCTTGGCCTAAAACCCTAAAGCTCCTTAATACGCGAACACTAGCAAGCTAATAGAACGCTGGGATGAGCTCTTAATGGGTGTTTAGAGCCGTTTGTAAGCCTCAACACATCCTCAAGCCATCCTCCAGGGACCCTTAAAAAGAAGAGCCCTCGAAACCCCATGCTCTTCATTCTGGCCCTTGCAGTAGCATAACTTAGACCTCTTCAACGATCCCTTAAAGGAACCCTGCTCTTAGTATTAAGGCCCCTAAACTAAACACCCCATCCCTAAACCCTAAAACTCTAAAACCCTAAAACCCTAAACCCTAAACCCTAAACCCTAAACCCTAAAACCCTAAAGCCCAAACCCTGAAGCCCTAAACCCTAAACCCTAAGACCGTAAAAGCCCCAAACCCGAAACGCCCTAAAGCCCTAAAACCCTAAACCCTGCCCTCCAAAAGCCCTAAACCCTCCCCGCCCGCCCGCCCTAAACCCTAAACCCTAAACCCTAGACCCTAAACCCTAAACCCTAAACGCGAGCGGAGCCGCTGGGAGGTTCTGGGCCTCGCCGGGGAGGAGCTCCGGGATGTCCAAGAGCTGGAGAAGAAGCTCGAGGTGTTGGGCTTTTAGGGCTTTCTTAGGCCTTTAGGGTCTAGGGTTTAGGGTTTAGGGTTTAGGGTTTAAGGCTTTTTGGAGAAGAAGCGCGAGGTGTAATTAGGGCTTTTAGGGCTTTTGGGGCTAATAGGGTTTAGGGCGTTTAGGGTTTAGGGCTTTTTAGGGATTTTAGGGCTTTCTTAGGCCATTAGGGTCTAGGGTTAAGGGTTTAGGGTTACGGGTTTAGGGTTGAGGGTTTAGGGTTTAAGGCTTTTGGGGCCTTGAGGGCTTTGAGGGCTTTTAGGGCCTTTAGGGTTTTTAGGCAATTTTAGGGTTTAGGGCGTTTAGGGCACTTAGGGCTTTTAGGGTTTGAGGGCTTTTAGAGTGGAGGGCTTTTAGGGCGTTTAGGGTTTAGGGCTTTTAGGGTTTTTAGGTTGAGGGTTTAGGGCTTTTAGGGTTGAGGGTTCAGAGTTCAGGGTTTGAGATTGAGGGTTTCGGGTTGAGAGGGTTTAGGGTTGAGGGTTTGGGGCTTTTAGGGTTGAGGGCTTTCAGGGTTGAGGGCTTGTAGGGTTTAGCGAGTTTAGGGTTTAGGGCCTTTGGGGTTTAGGGCTTTTGGGGTTTAGGGCTTTTAGGGTTTAGGGCTTTTAGGGCTTAGGGCTTTTAGGGCTTGGGTTTAGGGCTTTTAGACCTTTTAGGGTTCAGGGTTGAGGGTTGAGGGTTTAGGGTTTCGGTTTGAGGGTTTAGGGTTGAGGATTGAGCTTTTAAGGTTTAGGGTTGAGGGTTTTTTGGTTGAGGGTTGAGGGTTGAAGCTCGAGGCAGCAAGAGGGTTTCGGGTTTTGGGTGTGCAGGGTTGATGAGGCAGCTCGAATAATATTTACTCCTAGGGTTGCGGGTTTAGGGTTTAGGGCGGGGGGGGGGTTCTTATATGCTTTTGTTTATTTAGGGTTTGGGGTTTAGGGGTTTTCATGTTTTTGGGGTTCGGGGTTTAGTTGCCACAAGGGGGCCCTAAACCCTAAACCCTAAACCCTAAATACTATATGGCCGAAGATGAAGATTTCAGGATCCAACTTGAACTTGTTGGGGACTTCGCTAGGACTTGAGGACCTCACGGAAGTGGCTGCCCTTGCCTTGTTTTTATGGTTTATGGTTTAGGGTTTATAGGGTCCAGGGTCTAGGGTTTAGGGTTTAGGGTTCCAACTCAGTTCCATGAGGCAATGCAGGGGCCCAAAAAGGGCCTAAACAATTGCCAATAGATACTTGTCGTATATGGGTAGTTCTCTAAATTAGGGTCCCTTTTCAGGTCCCCAGTATAGTACGGCTCCCTTATAAAAAGGACCCTAAAAGGGACCCTAATATTGAAAACTACCCATATGTAAAGACCCTATAAAGTCCCTATAATTAAATCACTTGTCTGATTGAGGGGCAACAGCAACGCCTGGTTTAAGCAAAAAACGCTCGACTGGCAATCCTAGTCCAAACCTTCCGGTTGACACCCTCTGAACCCTGGAACTCGCATCGAAACCCCTAAACCCTTAAACCCCAAACCCCTAAACCCCAAATCCCTAAACCCAAAAATCCTAAACCCCTAAATCCTAAACCCTAAACCCCCAAACCCTGAAGCCTAAACCCAAAAATCCTAAACTCCTAAATCCTAAACCCTAAACCCCTAAACCCCTAAACCCCCAAACCCCTAAACCCCAAACCCCTAAACCCCTAAACCCTAAACCCTAAACTTGCATGGAAGTGCCCGAGCCCTTCGCCGCGCTGTGCGCAGGCACTCAAAGCCGAAGGCTGCCTTGGCCAGTCGCGGCCTGGCTTTCGGTGAGGTTTTAGGTACTTGGAGATTCATGGGACTTAATAAGTACACTTGAGGGGTTTAGGGTTTAGGGTTTAGGGTTAGGGTTACTTGGAGGTTCATGGGACTTAAGAATTA